CAAGGACAGCTTTAGACTTAGGCTCACTAGAATAGCTAGAAACAGGAAACTGAACCCTATGTTGTTTACCTAGGACACAACCCTCACAGAAAGGTATGGGTGACACCAAGTCATTTCCAAAACATCCAGTTTGTTTCAAAATATTCAATCCTTTATTACTCATGTGACCCAGCCTTTGGTGCCAAAGCACAGACTTGTCAATGAGTACAGCATTAGCATTTTCAGAAAAAGGTTTGGCATGTACAACATAAAGGTTATTTTGTTTCAAGGCTTTAAATAACACAAGGGAGTTTTTCAAAATCTTCATACACCCATTTCCCCATTTACCCTCAAGACCACATTCTTCAAAAACAGAAACAGAAAGCAGGTTGTGCCTAAGATCAGGGACATGTCTAACATTTTTTAATTTGAAAACAGTTCCATTTTCAAACTTAAGACTTATGTCACCCACACCATGAACCTTACACTTCTTATTGTCAGGTAGGGACACATAACCAGAATCACAAGCACTATAAGAAGCAAACAGATTTTTAAAAGGAGTCATGTGGTAGGTACAACCTGAATCTATTACCCATTCAAATTCAGTTAAGTTGCTTAGGGCAGAATTAGCATGATCACAGATCATGAACACTTCTTCACTAATTTCCTTATCAGTCACAGAGTTGGCCTGTTCATTTCTTTTGGATTGGGGACAGTCCTTTATGAAATGATCTGGGTTCCCACAGTTATAGCACACCCTTTTCCTAGACTTATGCCTCTTCTTGCTAGGTTGTCTACCATTCTTATCCTGATTTTCCTTTTTAGGGTTTTTAGACCTACTTTTAGATCTTCCCCTAACAACCAAAGTTTCCCCAGATTCCCTATGATGGTTCCTAGAATGTTTTAAGTCAAGTTCTTTACTTCTCAGGCCATTAATAACAATATCAAGGGTTATGTCATCCCTCCCATATTTTATGACAGACATAACATCATTATAGGAATCAGGTATAGCATTTAATAAGACTATGGCAGTGTAGTCATCTATATGTTTATCCCCAGCCTGCTTAATGTTTTGGATTAGCTTGTTAAAAATATCTAGGTTTTCATCAATATCTTTTGTTAGGTCAAGCCTAAACCTAAAAAACTTTTCCAACAAAAACAGTTTGCCAGGACGGGAAGTATCAGTATATAGAGACTCAAGTTTATCCCAGAGGTCTTTAGCAGACTCAATGACTCCAACTTTTCTAAGGACAGAGTCAGACAAGTTTAAATATATGGTTGAGCAGGCTATTTCATTCATTTCAACTTGTTTAGGTTTTTCCTCAGTTTCTAAGTATTGCCCAGTAATAGCTCTATGAACTTTCTGTTGTATTAACACACATTTTAATTTTTGTTTCCAAATATCAAAGTCAGTCTTACCATTAAAAGGCATCATACCATACTGGTTTGAAGCCATGATAACAGTCAAGCACACACAATTAATGAGCCAACTGTAATGCACGAGCCTAGCCCTAGAAGGTTAGACTGCGGACTAAGGGACCACGCAGATCCGGGGCCACAGAGGTGGCTGGCAGGGAATCCCCTAGCCCTAACCTCAGGTGCCTTAGCCAACTAGGGTTTCACAGCCACAGTATTACAATGGATCAAAAATTACCAACACAAAAACAATACTGGAAGCAGATAACAACAACAACAGAGGACTGGCAAGCAAGTAGAAAACACAAAAGGTGCTCAGATAATATTACAGACAACTGTGGGCTAAGTTCGACACAGATTAGCACCACCCATGCACTAGTTCAACAACCTAGGGTTTCTGCAGACCTGTCTTAGACAGAATCTACACATGCAACGGATAAAAGAACTGGGGTTTCTAACCGGCAGCTCCTCAACCAAGGGTTTCAGAACTACCCATGCAACACAGAAGCCGGTGGCACTCCGGCAGCCCAAGATAGGGTTTAAGCTAATATACCTGAGCGGGAGTCTAGATTAGACTTCCCGACTTACCAATCCGAGGAGGAGCCTAGGCGTTACCAGTTTTGGGGAAGTTCTTCCGGCGAGTCTCCGGCGTCGGTGAGAGGAGGCAGCTTCCAGCTCTGATACCACTGTAGAGTTACTGGACCGGCTCAGACCTCAATCACCATAGCCCAAGGGCTAGCTCACCATTCACCACCAAGGAGTCAACAAGGGAAGACCAGAGGGCATCTAGTCTCAAACACTCAGTATAGTGCCCAACCCTCCCAAACCAGACTGCCCAGAGAAAACCCACCGGAGAAGAAAACCCCCCACAAGACTACCAGTACAGAGTGAAGCCCACAGAAGGACCCCAAAGGTATCACCGGAGGGTAGCCGGAGCTCACACCCTAGATGATACCAGCACTCTCTCACTCTAGAACTGGGGTAACCGGAAAGACCTCTCATCGGATAGAGAGAGGGAGGGGACGATCAAATAGTGGATTCCAGAAGGAACGGACAATATAAGGTAAGGGCCACAGAGACATGGGCTTGGGCAAAGACAAAATGAGGGCAAGTGGGCTAAGTCAGGCGGACAGCCCAAACGGGCCAGTAGGATAAGATTAGCAGACAGCTCATTTAATGGGATGGACCATGGGCCAGTGAGGTGGACCAATACCAACTCACACAGCCTTATACAGGGGCATAGTTAGGTTTGGGTTGATAGGTAGTTTTTAATAATTAGTTGTTGGGTTGAGATAATATGAGCTCTTTGAAATGGGCATTATTATTTAAAATACTGCCATTGACACATCCAAAATGCGTAATTACTACTCCGTATTATTGTTATTAATATTATTCGGTTTGTTGTTTTAAGTTAACAGCTTTTATATTTTTTAGAAGTTATTGTTTTTGTAATTCTTTAGGTTGTTATTTGCAAGTGTGTTTTTCAAAGTAATGATGTGAAAAGTGTTTGAATTGCATTTTAATAAAAGTAGACAAATATATATTTGGTATGCTTTCATTTGTCAAATTAAGCTATCGAGATTTATAACATTTTCAATCTGTAAACACTTTCACAAAAATATTCGCTCATACCATGATGTGTTTTTGTTCACGTCAATAGGAGGAAGGATAGACAAAAGTATCAACGAGTGAGTCACCGTCAATTTTTAAACTCAGCGGCCAAAACTGTCATGACACCTCTAATGCAATGAGTAGATGACTATAAAAATATTGATGTTGCAATATTAGGAGTTACATATGGGATGAGTTACAAAAAAAACTGTCAATTTTTGTCACAAGCTAGATTCTTATAAAAAAATAAGTTTTACTTATAGTCAACTTTATGTTGCAATATTAGGAGTTACATATCACTAGAGTTTGAAAATATTGATTTGTTGTGAAGATGTTGAACAAATTGACCACACCAGAAGGTTACTGACAGCCAATTTTAGATTAACAAGCTTATCAACCATTTTTTTTAATCAAACACGTAACTTTTGATTTCGCGCACTGAGTTGTGTAATAATAAGAAAAAGTAAGGTTGGAGTTACTTTTCTGGCTGTAATGATTGAAGTTACTGTAGATGACCATTTTAGCTATTTCTTCATATAATTTTTTCTTTATTTTATTAATAAAATATGTTTTAATATAAATTTTTCATAAATAAGCAGAATCAGTCAATATAGTCACTTCAGCCAGAACTTAATAAATTTATGCAGAATCGGTTGATTCAGTCAATTTCAGTGTTAGCAAATGGACTCTAAGTGTTTCAAAAAGTATAAGTTACTTCAAGCTCATTGTAATACTTATTTCTTCTTATTGCCAAAATATAGTCTGCACCCGTTCTGAATCCTAACTGTGCTTTCCTTAACTAAAATTTTTATTATGTATTACATGATTACATCTACTCTTTTGAAATTTTATTGATGTACATTTTATATTTTTTAGGGGAAAATAGTTTAAATATAACAAACTTTGATAATGTGTGAAATAAGAACCTCAAACATGTATATGTAATATATGTACCCCAAACTTTATATAAAAAGTTATTTTTCGCACCATGAATGTATGTTTTTTTTACAAATATAAACTTATTGGAATAATTACATAATATAAAATACTCTTAGCCTTGCTAGAATGCAATTAACTTTCTAAAATTCCATTTGTGAAATAAATAATATTACATATGGTACAATTTAAATTTAATTGCATTCTCATAATTGTTTTGTGTATTTTAAATTATGTACTTAACACCTTAGAATTACATTTGTGAAAATATATATGATCATGATACTAACATAACATTTGAGGTATACATATTACATGTACAAGTTTGAGGTACTTATCTTACACCCCTTCAAAGATTGGGATATTTAGATTATTTTCTCTATTTTTTAATCGTACACTACATAATAATTAATAATGTTGACAAATCATATGATATATCACACACGAATGAGGATCTAGTTTGTCTAGGGTTTAGTGCATTAAACTCACTCGAGATATATAAATTCAGCGCATTAGCCCCATATGGTTTAAAAATTGTGTCAAACCCCCCTATGTTATCATTATTAATGCGTAGAACCCCTTTTTATGAATAAATTTACCAATTTGGAAATCACTTTTCTTAATATTATTATTGGATATGCAAGTAAATTTGTCAAATCTCCAAAAATATATACAAATGATAATTATTTTTCTTTTATTTGAAAATTATTATTTTTCACAAAAGAGAATCTGCGCGTGATTAATTATAACAGAGAGGGGTTTCAAACATTTTTTAAAGCACGGAGGGCTAAATGCACTACATTTTTATATCACATGGGGATTTGGTGGATTAAATCCTGTTTGGCTACAAGAAAGACAAAATAAATAAAAGATGCTAGCATGTAAACTAAGAGCCCGTTTGTTGAAAATGTTTTTCGGCTTATCGGATTTATCATACAATTTTTTCATCAAATACGTAATTTTTGATATCGCAGAGTGAATTGTGGATTAATAAGAAAAATTAGATTAATGTTACTTTTTAGAGAGTCATTTTAGTTATTTTTCATATAATTTTTTTAAATACTACCTTCTGTTCGGTTTTATTTGCAACATAGGTAGTGGGCACAATAATTAAGACATCTATCTTTACTTGATAGCTTTACAAATGACAAGCATTACAAAAAGGATGTAGAGTTCTAATGTCCACATATACTATCATTACAAAAAGCAACGTAGTGCTCATCTACAGTACTCCAGGCTGTCTACTGGGGTGTTATGAAACAAAAAAAATTCAAACTTCCCTCCTAGAACAGTTTACGCACCAAAACTTTTAACTTCCTTCTATAAATACCATCAACCCATCATACACAATCCATAAACTTCTCCAAAGGCAAAAAACAGATTTCACTGCTGCAGTAACTATGGATGAAGAAATACCAGTTTCAGAGCTTCTTCAGTTGGAGGTGGATGCCATGTGTGATGACTTTGATGTTGAGCCAGAACTAGAAGTATTCTCTTCCTTGTTTTCTGAAAGTCACAATGAGGTAGGATCTGAATCACAAACATCAGAAATTGTTCCCAAAAAAGTAAATCTCACAAATAATTAAAGGAAGCACTTGGTAGAAAAACTTTTAATGTTGAGTGATGGTAAAACCTTACCCAAAGGTGCTGTGTCAACAGTTGCAGCGGAATTTAAAGTTCATAGAACCACTGTTTGGAGGATTTGGTCTGCAGCTAAAGTTCAATTAGCTGGGGGTACATTAGTGGATGTTCAAAGTCAAAGAAGGGGAAAGGTAGGGAGGAAACCTAAAGTTTTTGATTTGGAAATCTCAAGGCTGTGCCTATTCAACAAAGAACCACTATTCGATCTTTGTCTTCTGCCCTTGGGATTAGCCACTCGGCAGTCTATCGGCTACTTAGAACAGGGCAACTTAGAGCCCACACAAACAGTATTAAGCCCAAACTTAATCACATGCACATGAGGAGGAGGCTTATTCACATTATGGGTCAAGTAATTCCAAGGACAGTGAACACAATACCTAAATTTTCAGGTATGTACAACATGGTTCATATAGATGAAAAGTGGTTTTACATGTCACAAAAAACTCAAAGGTTTTATCTATTTCCTTGGGAGGAAGAACCCTATAGGAGCTGTCAGAACAAAAACTTTATTGGCAAGGTTATGTTTTTTGGTGCTGTGGCTAGGCCACATATACTACCGTATCTGATTCGGGTCAAGTTCTATGGGACGGAAAAATAGGGATATTTCCATTTACCGAAATTGTTTATGCACAAAGGAGATCATGTAATAGGGAGGCAGGAACCCCAGAATTAAAAGCCATACAATCTGTGTCACAAACAGTTATTAAATCGAAGTTAATAAATTCAATCTTGCCGGCTATAAGGGAACATTGGCCATCTAATGCATGCAAGGATATTTGGATTCAATAGGATAACGCTAGGCCTCACTTTGGTGTTAATGATGTGCAATTCATGGAGGCTGCCACTTTATTTGGTTTCAATAAAAGACTAACATGCCAACCTGTCCAAAGTCCAGATTTGAATGTACTCGATCTAGGTTTTTTTAGAGCTATACAATCTATTCAATATAAGGCTTTTCCTAAGACGGTTGGTGAACTAGTTGGTGCTGTCCAGGATGCATTTTACTCTTTTGAACCAAGGCTGTTAAACTACACATGGGTACACCTTCAATACATAATGCTGGAAATATTGAAGGTAAGGGGAGGTAACAACTATAAGAACCCCCACAATGCTAAAAGAAAGCTGGACAGTTTGGGTGTTCTACCAACACAAGTTGAAATTCCAGAAGAACTCATTGAAGAAACAAATAATTTCTTGATGGAGGGCCAAATTTTGGTGAATACAACAATGCTAAATTAGTGCATCAAGAAAGGAGGTCCTTACTTTTGGTGGTGCCAGTATTAAGTTTGAAATCTTTTTGCTTTCACAGGGATGTAAACTTTGCCCAAGTTTACTGCCCAAATTTTGTAAATGTTGCCACAGTTTATTAGGCTACTCTTAAGGGGTTGTAAACTTATTATAGTGTAACTACTTTCAAACTTTATTTTGCTCCAGATGACTCAATCTAAATGCACTAACTTGTATGTTTGCAAATCACTACATGTAATATGGAAAGGATATTCAGAAATGCTAATACTTTAGTCAACAAAAATCACACCATGTCAATAAATCTATAGGCACGAATAATGTCAATCTACCACAATTCTTCGTATAAAGTCATGCAAAATTTAACAGACCAAAATCAACAGAAAATTCATTTTGGGCATTCAGAAACCAAATGAACAGAATGCAACCAAATCCACAAATCAACAAATTTTAGCCAACTGTATTTTTTTGTAATTAAACCTAAATACTAGTATAAAAAAAATACCGTTTTTAGATTCCTCAGGAAACTGGATTGGCCGCAAGATTTTGAAGAACATCATTAGGTAACTGCTCATCTCACGGAAAATGGGATTGTAAACCATACCCACCTTTTTGCAGATTTAAGTGCAAGCTCTGTTTTCTAATTTGTGTTAATCTTGATTGATCTCTTTCTCATTCTCTTCAGTCGCAGAATGTCAAGGAGGAGTAGTAGGAGCGCCGTCTTCACTCGCATAATATCGAGGGGGAGTAGTAGGACCGATAGTTTGATGTCATCGACGGCTATTTGTGGTGCCTCCATCTTAACAGTGCTAGAATGAAATAGAAAAATAGGGAGCAAGTGGGTAGAAGATGATAAAGAAAGCAATAGATAAGAATGGTTGAATATACGGAGAAGATAAGGGAGGGTTTCTTCAAGACAAGGAGAGAGGATATTAAAGTAGGGTGTAGGTAGTTGAATCATTAAAGTAAAACAAAATTGGTAGGTGGGAATTAATTAAAAAGAAAAATAAAAGAACTTCGAGAGTTTGATTGAGGATATTAAAGTAATTTGTGGATATCACTTTTAACCTAAATATGTAATGTTGCATTTATTTTGAAACTGCCAAAAGAGGAAAGTGTTGTATTTAAAAAAGAATGGAGGGTAGTATAATTTTTACATACATAGTATATCAATAAATCAGCTAATCCAATCAATAGAGTCATTTGATATTAGCAAATGAGCTTTAAAGGTCACATTAAGGTAAGGAATGATTGAATCTTAATAATTTGGCAGCCCCGCGTACAGTTTGCACCATAAATGTATTCCAAAAAGAAATCCGGTCGTGCGCAAATTGGAGTGGTAAGTAAAGGGAGCGGTGGAGAAGTGCGCGACACACCTTCGGAATCAATTGATGGGGAAGAAGAGCATCGCAGAGGTTGGAGCGGAAGACTTGGTGCAAGCTGGGCTCTCCCCGGACGAAGCCGCCTCGCTCCACACACAGCTCAAGGACGCCATTGCTCTGTCGCGCCGTCTTCCTCCAACAACTCACGACGGCGCCGTCGACGTCTGGCGGGAAATCACCGCTCGGAGGTTGCTAAGGCCAAGCCACCCGCACGCTGTACACCAGCTTCTCTACTACTCCGTTTACCATAACTACGATGAGTCCTCCTATGGCCCTCCTCTCTTCTGCTTCCCTTCTCTGTAATTCCTCTTCCTCCATTCCTCTCAAGTAGTTCAAGGATTTACTCCGTTCCCACAAAACTGGACCAAATTTAACTGTTCGAATATTATAATAAAAAGCGGCTAATTAGGATTTATGCACTTCAGAAACTTAAGCCACACATTTATTTATTACCTAAATGGAATTCTTAAAGTTTTTGAAATAGGAAAATTGTCAATATTCTCTCCTCTATACAAATCTTAATCTAATCACTTTTACTTTTTTATTAAATCAAATTTATCCACATATTACAGGCAAAGGAAGTACCAAATACTCCCTCCCTCCGTCCCTTAAAGTTGTCCTAGCTTGACTTCACAAGTTTTAAGGAAATGAATTTGATTTTACACTGTAGTGACACTGTTTGACACTGTTTGGTATAGATTTGTTTACCAAATAAGGAAGTTGAAAAAGTAGAACAAACATTTTGGGACATCCATTTCGGGAAAGTGTGACAAACTTGGGACGGAGGGAGTATGTTTTTGCGTATTCTTTTAGAAAAGCTAGTTTGGAATATAATATTACTCCCTCCATCCTTTTAGAAGGTTCTCACTTTACTTTTTTGGACATCTCATATAAATGTTTTCATTTCTATTTTAGGAAATAATTAACAACTTTAATGACAAATTAATCATTATAAAATGCTAAAGCTACCCCAAATGAGTACTCCATTTTTACCTCACCCTAATGTGTGGCCATAAGTGGGACACCACTTAAATGAGTTGCCCCATATATGGCTACACATAGGGTGGGTTAAAAATGGGGTATCCCATTTTGGGTACCTATATCATAGCTCTTAATCATTAAATATTAAAAATAATATACTTATAACATCACATTTATCAATACTAACTACATTATAATATATACCTATTAATATTATTTCTCAAAATATATATCCGAAATACTTTATTTAATTATTGCCTAAAAACCGTGTCGTTTTGCTATTGGAACCTTCCAACGGGACGGAGATAGTAAAACTTAATAAACTGCGTTGCATAAGAGTAGAAAATGTAAAATTTCAAAATATGAACATTATGTTTTTATTCTGAAACAAGTTGAGACATTAATACTGCTCTCTTAAGACTCTTAATGCTGAAAACTAAATATTTAATAAAAAAAACATGATATTCCTATTTAATAAAAATAATAACAGAAATATTATGTTTTTTGTCCACAAGTTGTTTCAACAATATTTAAGGAACTACCTTTTTACAATTTTCATTATTCTTACTTCTATTTTAGGGTTTTTTCTTCTTATTATTCAGACTCATGCATTCTGTATTGTAATTCCGTTTCGGCTACTACCCATCCCGACCAGTGATTTTAGGACCCATTTGCCCACCCTTAGGCCAGCTTGTGACCATAGTTTTAAGTGATATTTGACTTTCCATCCCGTGCTGTGACTTGTGAGTGATATTGGATTTTGCACTCCATTTTCAAAATGATGAATATTTGCATCTTATCCCAAAAATTATGAAAGAGTGGAATGCAAAGTCAAATGAATTAGAGTGCAAATGAGGTGCATATTAAATGATTTTGAAAGTAGGCTGCAAAATAAAATATCACTAAAAATGGAATGTAAAGTCAAATTCTCCGTAATTTCAAAATGTAAACCCTAACATGTGATACCGCCGCAATATTGTATTGCATGTATTCTGCAATTGCATCAATGTGTTATTGAGGTGTTTGAAAAAATTGCAATGCAATTGCCTCAGGACCGCATATGAACTACACAAGAGTGCAACACTAGCGTAATTTTTTTTCTCTTATATCATGCAAAGCAAAACTAGTGTAAACCACATCGACTGCAACCCACATCAATCACAACGGCTCTTTTGTATGCTTGTAAGGAGGTGCTTGGATCTATCGCATAAAATTGTTTCGAGGTGAAAGTACAAAAGTACGTCCAAGAGGTCCAAAAAGCTGTCAGAAGAGTTTTTTATTAGTCTGGGGATATTAGATTATATGAAAACTGATTCTGATTGTACTTGTACTTTTATTAATAATGTGGCGGGGCGCAGAGATGAAGCTAAAGCTACAAATCTAGGGCGTCTAATGGAAAGACATGGTCCGAAGGTTTTGGGGACAAGCTACAAGGATCCAATTGCAAGTTTTAGACAATTCCACAAGTTCTCTGTTGAGCATCCGGAGGTAATGTAGCATGGATTGATAAAGTTAGATTGTGGCTGCGCGGATGATGCATTGAATTTGTAGTGCAGATATACTGGTCATTTGTTTTGAAAGAGCTGGCAATTCAATTCCAGGAAGACCCGTTGTGCATTCTGGATACCTCTGATCCATCCAAGCACGGGGGCACGTGGCTCCCTGGTTCAGTTCTCAATATAGCTCAATGCTGCTTGCTGCCCAGTGCTTACCACAAAAAGGAGGACACCAGCTTGGCCATTGTGTGGAGGGATGAAGCCCATCACGGTGACCATGCACCACTTCATTCTATCTCTCTTCAACACCTCCGAGACCAAGTCATGTATGTTCATTTATTTATTGAGACTCGCGCCATCGATCAATTTAGCTCTGCTCATACCATTTTATACTTCGGGTTTCATCCTGAAAGCTCACATAAGAAGAGAAAACATTATTTAATCATGATCATGGGGATTAAGAATGACCCCCTTCTCACACAAAAACATGACTGATTTTGATTATACTCGTGGGACAAATACACAAACGAATCTAGCTTCTAATTGTGATTATTTAAATTTAGGGGCTGTCATTTCTTTAACACATTAAGGTATGTGTCAAGGCAATTTATACCGTGGGATCACCCACAGTCTGCATGATGTGTCGATCCCACTTTACTCAATTGATTTCTTTTTTCCTTCCTAAAGCAACATTCGTTTTCTTCTTTTGCTTTTCCTTTTTTATTTTTCTTTTTTCAATTCTTCTCTTTTTCCATCAAATTAAAATACTAAAAATTTAATTGTAGTTTTACTTTCTTTTATCTTCAACTTAAATTATAATTGAATTTTTTTTTTATTAATACATAACAAAAAGTTCATCAATCTAAATAAAATGGCTAAAGGGTCAAATCGGTACATGAACTAACTTAAAGTGTTCAATTAGCCCCTTATATAGGAGTTTCTGCCCGGCCATCGCCAATTGGGGCGGTTCCCGGTGGAATTTTTTGATGAATTTTTTTGAGCATCTTCTTCATTAAGTCTAGTTTACCCATACCAAATTTCAGCTAAAAATTCAACCGGGAAGGCAGGCAAATGATTTTTTGAAGATAACTGCGCAGTTAAACAGCGCACTACATTTCGGAAAATCATTTGACCGCCTTCCCGATTTAATTTTTAGCTGAAATTTGATATGGGTAAACTACACATAATGAAAAAGATGCTCAAAAAATTTCATCAAAAAGTTCCATCGGGAACCGCCCCAATTGGCGACGGCCAAACAAAACCTCCTAAATAAGGGGCTAATCGAACACTTTAAGTTAGTTCATTTACCTATTTGACCCTTTAGCCAAATAAAATTAGTATATTGGATTTCATATTCGTACACTATTTTTATTTCTGCAATATTTTTTATATTCATACACTTTTCATTACCAAATCTCTACAAAATTTTATTAATAAAAAAGTTTTTTTTTATTTCATAATCATGCACTTATTCTACTTTTTTTTATCTTCAACTGAAATTGCAATAGAATATATTTTTCTGTATTTAATTTTATATGTCAATTTCATAATTCTTTATAATATACTCCCTCCGTCCCCTTTTAAATGTCCCATTTTACCATATTGGGATGTCCCTATTTAATTGTCCCATACCTTATTTGGTAAAGTTTGTGTGGCTCAAAATCATTCTTACTTTATTCTTACTTTATTCTTACTTTATCTATTAATATCAACCATACAAACCTACTTTTCTTAAAACTCGTGTCACCCTCTTACGGGACATTTAAAAGGGGACGGAGGGAGTATTTCTTATCTCTTTGCAAAAAAAATATACTCTGTATTTCTTATCTATTTGATATGTTTTTAGTGTTTTTAAGTCATTAAAAATGTTTATTTCGATTTAAATTTCATAAAAATTAAATTATATTACATTTTTTCATATGTGTGAGTTATGTTTATAGATAATTTCTGGAATTATATTTGATGAAATATAGAGTTACATCTTCTTATGGGCGAGTTACATCTTCTTATGCATGAGTTACATCTTCCTATGCGCGAGTTACATTTGGACGCGAATTACATGTTTTCATAACACGAGTTACATCACAAAATAAACTCCAGCAATTGAACAAAAAAAGCAATTTTTGCAAACAAAAATGAGTTTTTATTTGCAAAAAAAATGATTTTATTGGCAATTTTTTTTTTTATTTGAAACGTTTTTATGGCCTTAATACTAAAAACAAAACATATTAACTCATTTCATTTTCATTTACCCCAGTGCCGCAAAGGCTCCCACCTACGGTGGGTAAGGCGGGGGGGTCGGATGTACGCAGTCTTACCCCTGTACTAAAACAAAGAGAGATTGTTTCCGAATAACGCATAGTGAAAATCGCGTCCAAAATTGCATGGACTGACTGCTGCTCCATAACAAAGAAGCGCAAAAAGTTTTTCATAGGGAGTACAAAATCCTAGATATGCTGTTGGTTGCCTATTAATTAGATATACAACAGTTAAAAAGGCATACGACCAATATTTTAGTGCCATAGAGGAGTGGTGAAGTAAAGTGATCCCTGTTTCTACAATATGACGATGTCGGCGTTCAACGAAGCCGTTATGCTCAGGGGTATATGGAGGAGTGAGTAAGTGAGTAATACCACAAGAGGTCAGGAATCTCCCTAGGGATATATATTCACCCCCTCCATCCGAATAAACCATTTTAATAGTTTTTTGAAAAAAGTTTTCTACGAATTTCTAAATTGTTGAAAAATTGATGTTACCTCAGACCTGTGGGTCATAGTGTAAAACCAAATGTATTTTGTGTATTGATCAACAAAAATAACATAATAACGAAAACCATCCACAGAATTAATGCGTGAAGGACCCCAAACATCTGTATAAATTAAATCAAGGGGACCCGAACTTGAAAGGGAAGATTTTGCAAAAGGTAACTTGTGACTTTTATTACTTGCGCATGAAGCGCACAAAGACAAATCCTTACTAACATCTTTAAAGGAAATACCTAATGAGGAAATAATCTTTTGAGTGATAAAAAGGGCAGGATGTCCTAAACGACAATGCCATTTATTTAGAGAAAATTTTGTAGTAACGTTGGCACATGGTGATGAGGGAACAGGAACATCAGGCAAGCTGTAGACGTTACCTTTATTCATACCCTGTAACAAAATTGCTCCCGTTTTCCGGTCCTTGACAAGACAAAAAGAAGAGTGAAACTCAATTAGTACATCATTGTCACGACATAATTTGGCAACTGAAATTAAATTAGTATGAATAGAAAGAACAGAAAGAGTATTAGGTAAGGAGAGAGAATGGAGAGTCATATTCCCAACTTGTGCAATTTCAAGACTTTTACCGTTACCGATAATGAGGGAGTCTGTGCCGGTATAATCGGACGCCAGGGTAAGATTGTTTAAATTATTGGTGATGTGATTAGTTGCTCCTGAGTCTAGTAAGCATCCGCTTCGTCTGGTCGTGACAGTATTAGCGTTGGGGGGGGGGGGGGGTAATTTTGTTGTTCAAATCTGTGCCAACAATTGATAGCGAGATGATTCGGGTTGCCACAAATTTGACATATAACAACGCCCGAACTGGTATTTCCCCCAAAATTGGTACGCCTGCCCCCGGGATTACTATTTCCACGTTGATTTGAATTGTAGAAGTTGCGTGGGCCTCGATTCTGATTTTTGACAAAAAATTTATTTTGAGTATTATTGGGCCTGTTGGGTAGACTCTGAAGCTGGGTTGATTGACCTGGGCCTAATATAGACCGACGCACTCTGGTCTTGGACCCTGCGAGCCGTCATTGCGACCGACCTTTCTTCTTCGTCTTTTCTTTCGACGGTCGCTGCGTTAACAGTAACAACAACGGCGGAATTCAAGAGCTCCTTCCGTCGTAATTTATCTTCGAATCTAACCAGTAAAGAGTGGAGTTCTTCAAAGTTTGTTTCATCTGGGCGGATGGAGTTCTCCACGGATTCAAACTCGGGACGAAGACCCTCCAGGGCTTGAATGGCGAAGTCTTCATCGTCAACGGGTCGATCGACCATGGCTAGTTCATCCACTAGGGTGCGAAGGTGATGAATATATTCTGCTACAGGTTGCGACCCTTGTTTAGCTTGGCGGAACTGATCTTTCAGACTTCGAATTTTGGAAGCTGATCGGGTCCCGTACAGGCGCTCCAGTGTTTTCCAGACGGAGGCGGAGGTCTTCGCAGACCCAATCAGCGGTTTACAAGTGGAACTGAGAGAAGATACAAGAGCATGCCGCACCAGACGGTCCTGTCTCTTCCATCGCAGAAGGTTGGCAGCTTCACTTTCTGGAGGAGGACCTATTTTTTCATCAATATACTGATCCGGATGAGAACCGAACAGCAGGTCCATTACTTGGTCTCTCCATACAAGGTAATTTGATCCATCTAGTTTTTCTGGGAATTGGTTAAGGCTGAGCATAATAAGGCCATCCGAGTCCGAGGTTAGGGGATTATTGGCTGAGAGAGATGATGTTGAGTTATCATGAACGTCTTTGAGACTTTTGTCTCTGTTATCTTCAGTAGCCATGTGCAGAGGTGGGCAGAGGAGGGTGATGGTGGTAGAGTAGTTCGTTGAAGAGAATAGGCCGATTAGGCCTCTAGTGGCTCCGATACCATAAAGGAATTTAGAATAATAAGGAATTGAGACCGAAAGACTTGGTTTATTCCATGAAATGAATTGCTATTTATACAACATTCTATGGATTAATAAGGTAGGTTACATACAAATATTTTGTAACTGATAATTCTAATTAATTTTGTAACTGTTGTCTAGACTTTTCTTTGTCTAGACTCTTCTATAGTAAGATTATCAATACTTTTCACTTTATTCCCGTTGAACAAGATATCAAAGTATGACCTCCACCTCTCTTTTATTTCCTCGTCCTCCATTAATACCTATTGATCGACATCCTTCACACACCTAACTTTTTCAATATCTTGAGTTCTACGGTCATGAAGATGAGCAAATGTGTAAATATCGTTTTCTCCTTCCTTAGAGTCCAACTTTACATACAATTCATTGTTCACTTTTCCTCTTGCTTCCTTTACGGCTTTCTTTGCTTTTCTTCTAACCTTCTTGTATTCCTCTATTTTCTCATTGCTCCAACTTTTGCCCAATTTCGTATAGCATTCTCTTTTGCTCCTTATTGTTTATTTCATATCATCATTCCACCAAGAAGTGTCATTTTTTGGTGGCAAACATCCTTTAATGTGTTTGAACAAAAATACACCTGCAAGGACTATGAGGCAACCGCCACCAGAAACCGCCGCTGCCGGAATTCGACGTTGTTACCGGATTACTCCGCCACTCACAGACTGATCTTAGTTATGCAAAGGACTATGAGGCAATTAATTATATTAATTATTTATATTAGGGATAAAAAGATAATGTTTAGTCATGTTTAGTGGAAAAAAAATATTGAGTCCTATTTGTGCATTTATATTTAGGTTTAGTCCCGTTTACGACAATTCTCTTTTATTTACTCTGTGTAATTTAGTCTGATGTTCTACTACCTTTTACGTCTCTCTCTATAGTTTTTTTTATTCATCTTTTAGCTGGTTCTTTCATCTTTGTTTGCATTTTGCTTTTCTTTATATGCTTAAATAGTTCTTTTGCTTAAATATACATATTCATAGTGTTTTTACTATCACTTGTACAAAAAAAGTATGACTTGTAAGTAGCACGAAATATTTAAAAGAATTTATAAAGGGAAATTGGACTAAGCTCGTGACAAAGTTTAGACTTTAGTCTTTAGACCTGAAAAACTAAGGGCTGACGTGCATTAATCTGGTTTCATTTGTTTAAGTTTGATCTCAACTGGTTCGACAGCTAATTGTATTTAGCAATTGTTGAAGTTTGATCGGGTCCATTTTGGTCTGTTTAACTATGGTCGAGTTTGGCTGAAAATATTCCAATTAAAAACTTCCTTAGACACAAATAGTTGTGAGGAATTGATGAGATTAAGAATGCTTACAGAACCAAAATATTACTTCGTGTGATTGAGTAATAATATGCTATGGCATTTAGTGTTTTGGACGTAACAGAGGAGAGTAGTTGGGAAAAGTACACCCGCCATTTTCTTCAATTCTCTGCCCACAAAAAGAGTTTGAGAAGGATGAAACTTGATTTTCTTTTCTTTGTGACACACACACACACATACAGGGTAGTGGCAAACGCACTAGATTTAGTTTTCGCAAAGGGAGACAGAATTGCCATTGACATGCCAATGACAGAAAAAGCAGTCATTATTTACTTGGCAATTATACTGGGAGGCTTTGTTGTTGTCTCCATTGCTGACAGTTTTGCGCCCACTGAGATTGCCACCCGTTTACGAGTCTCCAATGCTCAGGCCATCTTTACGCAGGATTTTATCGTGCGAGGTGGCCGGCGGTTTCCTTTATACAGGTAATAATTTAAATGTATGTTGTTCAGCAAGATGCCCGGAGAGTTTCAGTACCAAATAACTTCAATCTGGATGTTTGGTGCTTGTCTTTGTAGTCGCGTTGTAGAAGCTTCTCCAAAGAGAGCCATTGTGGTCCCCGTGAATGGAGAGGATGTTCAAGTTCAGCTAAGACATCAGGACGTGTCATGGAAAACTTTTCTTGCTGCTCCTCTTCACCTTCCTAGGTAATGAATGAATAATGACTTTGGTAAAAAAAATTGAGACATTCATTTCATGCAGGGATGGAGACGGTTTTAGCTTTGAACCAGAACCCATCTGAGCAGTAATATATTATACACAAGATCATCCAGTTCCATCAAATGGAGGACTGGACCACTTTAAGAAAATATAGATTTGTTTGACTAGAATCGTGAAGCGGGGGTCCTAAGGACTGGAACCACCTACGGCCTACCTGCCATGTTTAAATGTTTTGAATGTTCCAATTTTTTCATATCTTCATTACCTTCCTTGGCTGGCAATAACTTAATTGTGCTCATAACACATTAAGATATATAGATTTGGAGATTTGCTCTAATAGCTCAATGTTATATATCTTTTATACAACAACAACATCCAAGCCTTAATCCCAACAGATTTTTGGGGTCGGCTAACATGATCCATGATGTTATGTCTTTTATATTATTATATTAATTCGATGTGGAATGGTTAAATGCTAGCTGCATGAATGTTAGTCTTGACAACATATTCTTTTGTGGCAGACCAAGTAATTACACACCGGTTTATCAACCAATAGACTCTATCACCAATATACTATTCTCTTCTGGAACAACAGGTTGAGAACAACGGGTGCTATGTATATACATATATTCCTTCTGCAATCTTTACCTGACTAGCTTTCTGATCTTATCATGTCAACTTTCAGGAGATCCAAAAGCAATACCTTGGACCCACCTCTCCCCCATGAGAGGTGCTGCTGATTCATGGGCTCATTTTGATGTCCAAGCTGGAGATGTCTTTTGCTGGCCTACAAGTTTAGGATGGGTGATGGGGCCTACTATAGTATATGCCTGCTTTTTGACTGGTGCAACTCTAGCACTCTATCACGGATCTCCTTTAGGTCGTGGTTTTGGAAAATTTGTTCAGGTAAACTTCACTTAGCTTTGCATGTAGTAGCTGACCGTGGATCTTCTTTTTGTAGGAATGTTTTTTGTCTCCGCAAATATTAGATGTTTTTATCCATTGCTGCAATTTATTTCATTTTCTTTGTAGCTCCCCTCCATCAAAGTTTGTAAAAAATAATGATATGACTCACATAATTCCATTATGGCTTTTCCGCACCACTAAAAAACTTCACATTTTCTTTCAAGAGAGCTTAGAGAGTGTAATTTGAAGGTAATGATGGTTAGTTTTTCTTAGCTCTCCTAATAGGTGCTGAGGAGTTGCATAAAGCTGATAGGAATCAGGCCCATTACTCTATCTTTTGGGGCTTCGGCTTGGGGGGCTTTGACCTTTGTACAGATTACTGTTCATCTTCTTCAATAAAGATTACCTTGTTCATTGATATTAATTTCTGTAATTTCTGGATATTTGGAGTTCTTATCAAAAGCTCACGTGAAAATACGTGTTTATATATAAAACATATTTAGTGATTTACTGATTTACATTGATGGGATAAACTTTCTACTTTTGTAGTTCTTGTGCATGATATATTCGAATTTTCTTATTATTGAATCCAAAGCATTCTAGTAGGTTAAAGGTGTCTTTTAAATGATACGGAGTACTACGTAAATGACATAAAGTTTCTGGTCAACATTGCTAATCTTCCATAGTTCCATGTTTTTCCCCTTAAAATGGTGTTAGGATGCAGGGGTAAGTATTTTGGGAACTGTTCCAAGCTTGGTGAAGGCCTGGAAAAGCACAGACTGTATGAAAGGCTTAGACTGGACTAGGATAAGGTGTGTTCTTTTAATTCATATCAATTTTTGAACAAAAAAAAAACAAACACAAACATCTAGCAAACAATTTCAAGTATTAAAAGTACTTGATTTGATAAATAAATACTTCATAATCTATTAACTAACATAAACTAACTCATAATGACGTCATTAATGAGAATGTACAGGGTATTTGCTACTACTGGAGAAGTCTCTAATGTTGATGATGACCTATGGCTTACTTCAAGGGCTTACTATAGACCAGTTGTTGAATGTTGTGGTGGTACAGAGCTTGCATCAACCTATATTGCCGGAAACCTTTTGCAACCACAAGCTTTTGGAGCATTTAGCTCAGCATCTATGTCTGTTGGCATTGTTATCCTTGATGAAGATGGGCATGCTTATGTGTGTATTTTATAATTAAAAAAGATTCTTTGATTTTGTAAATTATGAGCATTGCTGCAGATTTTGCAAAATAGTTCTATCAAAACTAATATTGTGACATCTGCCTACCTGTCTTAGGGGGGTCTGTTGGGATGGAGGATTTGGATGGTTTGGTCTATATCTTAATTAATAGAGTTTTTCTTCCAATGAATACAAAGTAGAAATGTTATATGCTCACATACTATGTTGATCTTCCATTTCTTACAAAATCTCAAATATATATCAAGATATAGACTAAAAACTCCAATGTCCACATTAATAAAGTCCCCCATCCAAACTGGTCCTTGAATAAAAGTGGTTATAATGCACTACTATATCTGTCACAAAAAAGAGTGACATGTGAGCATGAAAAGTTCAACTAACTGTAATTTTAGAACACAATAGTTATATACAAGTCATTAGTTCTACTTAATAATATTTTATTTTTGCTGTGTGACAGCCAGACGATAAAGCTTGCATGGGTGAGGTTGCTTTATTCCCTATCAATATGGGAGCTAGTGATAGGTTACTAAATGCTGATCATGAAAGAGTATACTTCAAGGGAATGCCCGTGCACAATGGAATGGTATGCATCATTAAATATGGTAGAAACTAGAAAGCATGTACATGGATTTTGGAACTTAATTAACTCTCCAAGTGCCAGAAAGAAATATGGAATATTAATGAAGTATATATATCCAATAAATTGGTGGGGTGTTCCCTGGCCCCCATCCCAAAACCTTCGGGTTCTGGTTTCTGCCAGGTTAATAAAAGTAATCAAGTATATATTCCTTCTACTGCTGTTGTGTATTACGGAGTACATAAAAACTCTTGAATAACTAGTGATCTATTACCAGTCAATTCTCAATATTCATTGGCTCTTTTTATGCAAATGGAAAAAAGAGATACTTATATTGAACATCAATCATTTCTACACGACTACATTAGTATTTTAGTTCATCTTTAAGCTTCGTTAGTGCTACAAATATATGACGTTCATTCTTTATTTGTATTTTCAGCAACTTAGGAGGCACGGTGACATCCTTAAAAGAACAGTTGGTGGTTATCTCGCTGTACAAGGGAGAGCTGATGATACCATGAATCTTGGGGGCATTAAAGTATGTCAAGTGTGTCAGTCAACCGGTTTACTGTGAAAATTACCAATGAAATCGATAAATAGTTAAGTTTTTTGGTTTTTCACATAGAATAACAATAAAACTTGAGGTGGAGCTTTGGCGCATAGGTTTCCGGTGTTGATGTGTGACCTAGAGGTCACAGGTTCAAGTATTGAAGCGGCCTCTTGTCAAAATGACAAGGGAAGGCTTGCCCCCCTACACATCCTTTGTAGTGGAACCCTTCCTCAGACCCTCCCCTTATAGGACACTAATGTGCTCCAGTCTGTCCTTTTTTAGAATAAAAATAAAAACTTGTTGAATTGGATTCTTTCTATTTTTTTTTCCTTACAATAATCCTGTATGTTTTCCTCCATATTTTCTTTCAAGAGTATCGTATTTATTCCAAACGGACCCCCTTAATGTTTGAGAAGCTAAAATGTTTATGCTCGTATATAGTCTAGTCGACAATGTACTTCTTTTTACCATTATATAACATATTCAGTAATAAGGGATACATCTCATATTGAATAATATTTGATGTTTGGGTGAATTTGCATAAGTACTTCTATGTGCTCCATATTGCTTTTAGAAGCAGTTTATTAGAAGCTTGGGGAGACAAGCTTATAAAAAACTTATACCGATTCCACTTCTGTTTTTTAAAAAAGAAACAAAAGCAGAAACAACTCCTAACACCCCCATATTACTCCCTCCGTTCTTTAAAGCCTTTCCAATGTTGACTAGCACGTGTAATAAGAAGGTAAAAACCGTGTGATTGATTTTTGTGCGAAGAAAGAAGTAATATTAACCGCAAATTAGTTACTTTATAGGAAAAGTAACAAGTTTTTTGGAAAATTGCCAAGGTTTAGTGGGGTTATGGAGTCGGTGATGTATGCAGCTTTAATCTACTAAGAGTCTGTTTCACTTTTGTGCATATGCAGACAAGCTCAGTTGAGATAGAGCGTGTTTGCAACCTGGCTGACAAAAATATTGTCGAAACAGCTGCTGTCAGCGCATCACCCGCAACTGGCGGTCCCGAACAATTAGTTATATTTGTGATGGTCAAAGAGGGATTTAAGGTTTCACCAAAAGAACTGAAGACTAAATTTTCAAGATCCATACAGAGCAACCTTAATCCTTTGTTCAAGGTTGTTTCTCTTAAACTTCCTTAGAGATGTTTGGGTGCTTTATTAAATTCTTAATTCATTTCTTGTGCATATTCTTTGCATTTTGTACTCTGCAGTCACAAAAGTAGTTTAACTAATCCTCCAAAGCACAACCATAACTCCATCACGAATGCACACAAATATATACACCAAGTAGTCACCTCCATTTTTTGTCAGTCACTTGTTAAAAAAATTAAACGAAATACTCACTTTCCAACTTTACTCAAATGTCTTTGTTTTGGAGTATATAATACGCATAGTTAAATGATCTCAATTTTCTACTAAAGGATAATATAGTCTTTTTGGATCTATCAGTTGATATTCTTAACCTTGAATAGAATGAAATTGAAGGAATATTTAAATACAAAATGCTGACATCTGACATGAATAGGAAGAGACATTGATATTAAGTTTCAATTTCTCCCCATTGATGATTAGGTGAGCGCTGTAAAGATTGTCCCAAGGTTCCCACGAACCGCTTCAAATAAGGTAATAAGGAGAGCTCTAAGGGATGTATGGAAGCAGGAGCTTCTTGAGACGCAGAGTAAGCTTTAGCTGAGGCTGAGGATGGGGACACTACCCCCTCCCCGCATATGTCATCAAGAAATGAACCATTCGGAAAATAACATTGTAGAAGCCTCAAGTTTTACTACATCTGAGACTAATTTTATCCAGCGCTACATTCTTTGGCTGATTACATTTGCTTTTAAAATGTCCCAGGGCTGCTACCTGCTAGATATATCATATACTATCCTCCGTATCTCATTAATTGCAACATTGGAATATATACACTATTCATGTACTTTATCTTGACTACATTTTATTTATTAATATATGTGATTTATTTTTTTTTGAAAAATGTTGTTAAATTCGTCTCATTACTAAGTTTTATAATCTAATTTTTATTTTATTTTTACTAATATAGAATTAAATATAATGACGGTCAAAGTTGTGCGTTGACAAACGTGAAATGTTGACTGTTGCAACTAAAAAGAGACGGAGGAAGTACTAACTTCATCCAATATAACTTGGTCAAATTTTCTTTTTGTCCATTCCAAAAAAATTACCATTTCCATTTATAGTAACTAATATATAGCTAAAATTATTTCTCTATCTTTTGCACAAATCTCAACCACATAATTATTACTTTATTATTCTACATGAAGTCAACTTTGACCAAGTTTTATGGAATAAAATGAGTATGAAGCTGCTTTTGGTTTTGCAAGTTTCAATCAGTGCAGAACTTGGTCGGTTTCTAGCCACCCTACCCTAGGAGTCTCATGTTCGTGAGATTATCTATAGGCATGGACCGGTTCCGGGCCGGGCCGGGCTCCGAGCCGGTCCAAACCAGGCTTTTTAATTGGGGTTTAAGGCCCGGAACAAGCCTGGGATTCTACCGGGACCGGGTCGGGTAGCGGGTTTTTTTCTTTTGTAATTAATTCCTACCCACCCCCCAAACCCCTCCAAAACACCCAGCCCAACCCTCCTACCACCCAAAGACTTTGAAAAAAAATTGGCCCAGACTAGCCCGGACCGGTCGGGCCGGTTCCAAAGAAACCCTCAGCCTGAGCCGGCCCCAAAACACCACTGGGTCAGGTCCTAGGGCTAGGCCGGTCCCGCACAGTGGGGGGTCGGGCCGATTCCCTGGCCGGGCAGACCGGAACCGGTCCATGCCTAATTATTTATACAGAGAAAGTGTGAAAATTTCAAAGAATTAGTTTGGCTTTACACCTGAGTGCTCGAGGTCATTCACTTTCTTAGACAAGTGGTGGAGAAGTATAGAGATACTAAAAAGACATGCATTTACTGCTTATTGATTTGGAAAGGGCATATGATAGGATACCTAGAAAAGTCTTTTGGTGGGCCTTAACTAGAAAAGATATCGTGTTAATGTATGAATATCATTATGGGTATGTATGATATTTGTACTATAAGTGTACGATTGTAGGGAGGATTGCAAAACTCTTACTATTGGATCGCACCAAGGACCGACATTGAATCCTTTCTTATTTATTATATTCATTGATGAACTTACAAACTCAATTCAAGAAGCAATATTGTGGTGCATGGTGTTTGTTGATGATATTGTATTGATTGATGAGATACAATCGAGTTTCAAAGCAAAGTTGGAAGTATGATGACAAAAAATTGGAGATCAAGACTTTCAAACCAAGTCAAAGAAAGATTGAGTATATGGAGTGCAGGTTTGGTGGAATTATAAGTAGTAGTAGCAGTGAGATTAACCTTAATGGCAACGAGATACCAATGTGTGATATTTTCTGTTATTTGGGAGTTGGGATCCTACTTAAGAAGGATGATGAATTAGATGGAGAGGCCAATGTGTGATATTTTCCGTTACTTGGGAATTGGGATCCTACTTAAGAAGGATGATGAATTAGATGGAGAGGCATCCCACAAAATCATAGCAGAGCGGATAAAATGGAAGAATGTATCAAGATCTACGTGAATGAGGTATGTCAACTAAGCTGAATGACAAGTTTTATCGGATAACAATTAGGTTTGCATTAATGTATGACATAGAGTGTTGGACGTTGAAACAATGTCACGTTTAAAAGATGTGTATATTGTGTTAGATGTGTGGACATACCAGAAAAGATTGCTTGAATAATGAGATAAACAGACAAAAGTGTGAGTATCTCATATGGAAGATAAAATGTTGAGCTCTCGATTGTGGTGGTTTGGTCATGTCCATAAAAGATCGAGTAATGCACATGTTAGACGAAATGAAAGGTGGGAAGAAGAGGCAAAGAGGAGAGGGAGACGAAGACTAAAAAAGACTTGGATTAGAGGACTTAGAACTAATATGCTTCTTCTTGGGTTGAATATGAGTAGGGATGGACCCGGTCGGCAGTCCCCGACTGAACCGGACCTGCCACTGTGCGGGATCAGACCCGATCCAGTTTTCTAGTCCCAATCTTGGACCGGGTACCCGACCGGGTAGGATGCGTACTCGGTCCCGGGTCTGGGGTTTGGGGACTGGACCAGGCGGTCTCGGTCCCCGTTCCGGTCCCAATGGTTTTTTATAAAATATTATTTAGGGGGGGGGCTAGGGGTGGGGCTGGGGGTCAAACTAGCCGTTTGGAACGGCTAGTAACGACAACCGACGTCGGAAGCGGCTCCGACGATTAGTTCATTTATTGTAATTTTCAACTTTAAAGTATTATCAATTGTAATTTTCAAATGTGATGCTAATACAAGTGACAATGTAGTGTTTAAAATAAATATACATCATTTATTTTATTCTCGAATAATTTAAAAAAAAAAATAAGGACCGGACTGAACCGGGACCGGAACGTTCGGGTAGACTGGACCAGGACCGGGTCTGTAGAAACCCGGGTCGGTTCCGGACTTCCGGTCTTCAATATTTGAGCCCGAGACCGGCCCGTCCGGGACCAAAACCGAGATCAGATCGGGTCCAGAATCGGTACCAGGACCGAGTCCACACCTAGATGTGAGTATGAGTTTGAAGAGAGCAAAGTGGAAAACGCATATTCATGTAGACAAATCTCTTTTCTCTCTCTTTTATCTTTAATCTTCTTTATCTTTCTTAGTTCTTATGTTATTTTTATGTTTTATCTTTCTTGTGTTGTTTTATCTTTTATGTTTCTTATGTTCTTATGTTAGTTTTATCATATTATTTTTATTTTTCGTATCATTCTTTTATTTTTAACTCTGTAGCATGGATTGATTCATAATGGCCATTTTTATCAACAAATGTGGCTTCTAGGGTGCTTCACACAATGACTGCTATAGCAGGCGTTAATATTTGTCTTTTAATAGCTGCTTACAAACAAATGAGGGTTTCGTCTTGGAATGGATTTGAGAAATTCAATTTCCTAGATCATCATCATTATTACTCCAGTAAAGGCTCCTACCTACGGTGGGGTAAAGGGGTCGGATGTACGCAGCTATTTCCGGATGTATTCATCATCACAGAGAGACTGTTTCCGGATGACCCATAGTGGAAATCGTGTTCAAAATTGCATTGACTAACTACTACTTCATAACAAAGAGGTGCAAACAGTTTAGTGAGTCGTTTTGCTTTATTCCATCATATTATCAAATCAAAATAAATAGTGAATCTTTGGCTTTGTTGTAAAGGATGGAAAAACAATTGTTCATCAATTATACATAGAAAATATAAATAATATAAAACCAACGTATGAACCTAGCACGAGATGTTACCAATAGACACACATTGTGAAAGCTACAAATTAATCTAAATGCATATACATGTATTTTAATGGACACTTGACTATCTATTTCAAAGTTTATAAGTAGTATATATATAGGGGAGGGTTCTAGTGAGAACCGCTCTTAAAATGAGAACCCAAATTTTAAGGTGATAACTCGTGGCCGGAATATACATATAAAACGCACTTTTCTTTCAAAAATCATTTGACGACATTCTCGATTGAATTTTTTGCTCAAATTTGGTATGGATGAACTAGACTTGATGAGGAACATACACAAAAAATTTCAGCCAAAAATACCACGGGTTCTCACCTTAAAATTTGGGTTCTCATTTTAAGAAGGTTCTCACTAGAACCCTCCCATATATATATATATTAAAGATCAAATGAGAACAAGGCTTAACGTGAGAACGTGAGAACACCACATTTGGATGAAGACTACGGTTACACATTCCACCATATCCCGATCTACAGTGACTCACAGAGCGCAATCGCCATCACTAGCAACCCTGTTCACCACTCCCGCACCAAACACATCGATCTGCGCTACCACTTCATCAAGGACCATGTGGAAAAAGGAGATATTGATATGTATTTTGTAAGCTTCGAGCTTTAACTGGCTGACTTGTTTACTAAGGCACTGGACGACAAGAGATTCCAGTTCCTAGTCTCCAAGTTAGGCATGTTGAACCTTGAGCCGGTGTAATTTTTTATCTCCACTGATCTGTACAAATGTGTGTGTGGGCCTTGTAAATAGTGTGCGTGAGTTGCATGTGTCAAGGGGGAGAAAACTCAAAAAAAAATCAAAGCCCCGTGTGTGTGAGTTATATCTGTACATAGTGTGAGTTGCATGCATCTAGGGGGAGATACAACGAAAAATAGCAAAAAGAGTGTGTGTGAGTTGCATTCATCGAGGGGGAGAAAAAAGTGAACAATGCAAAAACAGTGTGTGTTGCATGTGTGGGTGTTGAGTGTGTGTGTGTGTGTTTCATTTTATGGTTTAGAGCCTCACAGCAGTCTTTAAACCGAACTGGGCACAATACTGCTTTGGGCTCGGGATTTTTATTTGGGCCCAAACCCGTTTCGTTTTCTTTCTCGCGTGTATAAGCGATTTCGAGATCGTTGAACCCTTATCGTTTTCGCACTCTGTTTCTCTCGAAGATCCTGATCTCTCGCTCTCGAACTCTTCCTCTTCCCAAATCTTTCACCTTTCTTCTCAAATTTCAATTAAAGGTAGTTCATCGCCTTCGGATTTCATCAATGTAAACGTTTTTGAACTGCTAATCATCTCTCGCCTTTTGTAACCGAAAACCGATTTCTTTCTTTGTCTTGTCAACGAAGAACTCGAAACGTCCTTTTATATTCTTTGTATATTATTTGTTTTTGTTGTATTTGCAGATGGACATCGTCATAGATCTTCGAGGCAAAACTCGGGATTCATTATCTCGATGTTTAAATCTCAAGGATTTCGATATCGTCGTTTCAACTTCGAGATGGGATCTCGAGATTTAAACCTCGAAATCGTGATCTCGAGATTTAAAACTCGAAATCGTGATCTCGAGATTTAAATCCCGAAATCGTGATCTCGAGATTTAAACCTCGACATCGTGATCTCGAGATTTAAACCTCGACATCATGATCTCAA